CAGAACTTTTCTCTCGAAAACTCGCAACGTCGACTCATCAGTTGTTGTCATCGTCCAAGCCTCTGCACCATATAGCAGGACGGGTATTATGAGTGACTCATAGAGTTTGGTTTTTGTTTGTCGAGAGAGGACTTTGCTTCTCAATTGTCTACTCAGTCCGAAGTAGCACCTGTTGGCAAGAGTTATAAGTTTTTTTTTTTAGTCCTGCGTAATTTGGAACGCACCTTGTATGCCCTAACATATGAATGGAGGTCGTTTGAAATGTCATCGGTATGAAAGAGTTCGGAGTTTTGTTCTAAACGTGTTTCTAAGTTTACGTCTAGATCTACAAAATCCGCATTTATTTACGGTAAACCCTTATCATTCACCTTTACAAAAATTCACACTACATATATAAAGCAGATAGTCGGCCCGACAAGAACATGGCCAACCTCAATGGTAACGCATTAGACAGATCGTTAGTAATGTGCATTGCTTGTGGAGATGCGCGGTTATGTTCTGATTTTTTGGTCGGTTTGCCTATCTTGCCTTCGGCACTTATTCTGCTTACTTCCTTACTACTTTGCGTTGAATTAGTAAAGGCATGTCAACAAGGGATAATCGTCTCCAAAATTAGTATGAACATAGTATGGTAGGTTATAAAGTCGGTGTACCAAATTTTTTTTATTTATTTTTATGGAAATTATTTTCAGAAAAACTAAAACAAAATTGACGGTTGGGCAACTCGTTGACACGACTATGGTAAAAGTTGGGAGTAACAATTATTATCCATATTTGTATACAAAATATAGGAAATTAAGAAAATTGTTTTATTATATGCAAACTGTTTTAAGTAATGAATGTACTATATGTATCAGCATACATGTAATATTATTGTTTTGTGTTAGAACATTATGAAATTCTTAGCTTGAATCTTTCAGTATTTGGGGGCCGTATAAATATGCTTTCTTGAAGCCCACACAAACGAACGCACGAACTATTTTCTCCGCAATCAGCATCAAAAGGCCATTATGGCAATGAATCTGGCACAACAAAAGAAATATCTACCCGCGCATTTAACTGTTCGCATATACGTACGTACTCATATCTATGTATGTTCATACATATATGTATGTATATATCTCTCAATTGAGGCAAACAAATATGAAATCAAAACTCAGAGACACTCCACAAGTAGCAATCCTAAAATAGCGCAAACTTGGCTCACATAGCACTCAAGATACATGAAAATAATCGAGCTTATAATATATACTTACATGTACATATGTAGGTTTAATTACTTGTATGTGTTGGCAAGCACACATATGTATATAAGCTTTGGGTGTATGTATGTGTGTGGTGCTTACGAAATTCTTATGTTGCTTGAGTGATTACTCTGGCAGCGGCGTGCAATAACATGCGACATCTTAAAAACAACAACGAATGATAATAAAATTAAAATATTATATGAAGCAATTTTTTAATAAAAGCAAATTTTATGAATATTCGCGCTTTTGTCGTGCGAGACGGCCCAATTAGGAAGTATCGGTGCGATCCTATTTTGCTGAAATCTAAATAGCCCATATTTACATAATTGTTATGTATGTACATATGCCTCATTATTGTTTGTGTTTGTGTGAGGCATTTGTTTTGGCTTCAGCGAATATGTGTTTTTGCAGCAAACGCTCTTTGAGTTCGATTGACGACTCCCAAATAGTTGTGCAACAATTCTTTGAACCAGGGATAATGGGATGCCCAACTTATTCCAGTGTGAGAGCGCCTCAAAATAAGCGTTTTTTATAAAATTTTCCATTATGGCCAGATCGCACCAAATAAGAATTTTTGAGCATTTTAAATTAACATACCCAACATTTATTACGATTGCAAATTATTATATATTGGACTTTTAATATATGGCGCAACTACTTAATTCCCTTTTTATGATTTTATGGTATATTAAAACAACTGACTTTCGATATTTCAATACTTAATAAAGTGAATTAAGCCTGTTAGTTCTCAATTAATATATGTTTTTAATCACTTGTAATAGAATATTAATTCTATTATGCATCAAATTAGAAAACGTTTCACGATATATATTTAAATTTCGCATTTTCTTTGATTTTCATTGTTTTAAATTTTTATTAGCGATCTTGAACGGCGATAATAAATTCCTCCGTTCACATATATTTTTGGTATAATATCAATCTGGCCGTTCCAGTCATTCCAATCTAAAACGTCAAAACCTAATCAATTCAGTCAACTGTCAAAGTTCGGTAGGTTTTGACGTTTTGCAATTGCTCTCTCGCTTCCAGTGAGAGAGGAGTTGGGGATCTCATTATCTCTGCTTTGAACACTAACGTTCGGAAATCTTTCCAGCATACGATGCGTGAAAAGTTTCGGCTTAGCGTACCAATGGTGGAAACGTCAACCCTTTGGCTCTCGAGATTTCTTGTGTTCGGGTTATCGCTCTTGATCACTGATCGCTGTCTCTTAAATGCTTTTGATATTTCTAAGCCAGTACATACATATTTACATATTTCATGCTTAACGGTTCTGTATCTTCATGGCTCGCGCCGCATACCCAAGATTGATGTACACACAGAATTTACAGAGGTTGCTTAGAAATAACTAATAACATATAGCCTTGCCAGGCGGTAGCGTTAATCCAGATTTTAGTTGTGTTCTTGTGGCAAATATATGCTGTAGTGGTCTGATATCGGAAGAGCAGCTTCTTTGAAAGAAAAGGATGAGTGCAAATTTTCAGAACGACATCACAAAAACTGACATTGAACATTCGTAATGAGATTCAATTTAAACATTAGGTTAGGCATGACAACAAGTATGCCGATATCATCAACAATTTTTTATTGGTCCTATACTTACCAATTTGTGAACAAGCCAATTTTAGAAAAAAAACTCGCTCGCATCAGTAATTCGTAAACAGTTAATCGTCTGAGTACCTAGACGCAGAGTTCGAATTCGAATTTCTACTTAGTATATTTTACTGAAGTACATATGTATTGAGTGTTAAATTTCACTTTCTGAATGAGCATTTGTCTCCTGGTATTCCCAGGAAGCACTTTATATACAAATTAGAGTCATTTTGGTTCATTCTATTGAATCTGAAATAGGGAAAAGGGTAAGCTTAAGCATGAGCATGCAGGCATTCAAAGGTTATTTAGTTACTACATATGTCAACGTCTTTTCAAAGCTGGTGCGAATTATTCAATCAAGGTACTGTATATATGTACGTAAACTTTAAAGTGTTTCGTTATACACACAACAACAATGATTGTATATAGAAACATTTATACGTATGCATGTAAATGAGTTGACTTAATTTATACGTTCGATTCGCTGATTTGTCGTTTTGTTCTGTTGGTGTTGTTGTTAGCCTTTTTCGATCGCGTCAATGAAAGGTCTGTGTTGGGTCGATGCTTTGCTCAATTCGTCAGTACAAGCAATCGCTCGAGCCA